GTTTTGGATCATTGTGCCTAGTAGTCCTGCGAGAGGATTGTTTGTACAGTTTTGGTTCAGAATAGGCTAGATGGGCACTTTTATAGGATGGTTTAGACAGGGACAATCCTGCTTCAAGCAGGGGGTTGGGCTAGATGGCCTCTTGAGGTCCCTTCCAGCCCTACTTCTGTATGATTCTATGAGTTACACATATGTATGTGCATTAGTTAGAATGACCAAGAGAATACTATTTTTCAGTTTAAAATTCAGAATAATCTCTAAGGCATTTGTTTCATGTCTTTGCCTTCATCAGATTGGACCTTTAAAAACCTGTTCATTGAAAAAATAAATCCTAAATAAATCGAGTACTTCAGTGAGATAATGGGGGCTCCTTAAAGAGTGGCTATGATTACATTAATATTTGTCCATGCCAGGGGTTTTCAACCCGCGGACTCCTTCCTTCTCAACTGGCCGCTAGGGGTACACCGAGCCAAAAAGGTTGAAAACCCCTAGTCGATGTGTTTGGAATATACTATACACTCTCTCAATACAAACAGCAAGGAGACTAAACATAGGGACCAAATGTGGTTCTTTCTGATCATTAGCCAATAGTACTACTAAAAACAGTTAGAGACTTTGTGATTATGCAACTTGGCAAATTTAAATACATGTAAACCACTACTTAAATATAAAAAGAGAGTGACGTTCCTTTGTGTCCCATAGTAATAGAGAAAGAAAAACTCATTACTTCTGTGTAAATTCTCTTCTAGTAAACGTAAGTAAGACAGACTGCTGAGATCAGATGACCCCAGCAAGATGGGTGTCAAGACGTTCCTCTTTAGCTTGAAGATTTTTAGATTTACACAAGCCGAAGATCTTAAATGAGTAAAAAAGAATTTTATTTTTTTTTAAACACAACTCAAATACACGTGATCTTTGACTTTATAGAAGAAAAAAAAAAAGAATACTCCAAGACGTACTTTAAGCCAAGTTTCAGTCCACTGTGGATTTTTATGGTTAAGTTGTCAATTCCAGCAAAACTGATTAAGTGCTGACAGCGCTTTAACTAGTGGCATATACAGGGTTGTAAAAGGGGGAAAGAAAAGTGTTCCACAGAAGCGGCAGCACACTTCATTTGCACATTGTAGGAAGTTAAATTGAAATTTCATTATTTTTAAATTTAAAATCACAAGCTTGAATACATTACAATGTTAGTTACATAATGCTACAACTTGTTTAGGCACCTGTGTTCCTTATGCAGTGCCAGCATTTTTATATCCAGCATTTTTATATCCTAGATGAAGTGTTTGGTTTGAAGTGCTTGTGAAGTATAATTTCCTAAACACCTCCTTTTTATCCACTGGATACCTGTTCCCAGTCTACAGGAAGATGCAGAGATCCAGAATGTAGTCCAAGATTTACCATCTTAGATGACTGTAACTACCTTCGACTAACAACACTGACTACATAAAAAGAAGAAAGTGTCCCTGGAGTGGTATTTAAAAGCCACCCCAAGCTATTGCAGAAACAATGTTCTATAACTGTAACTAGAAGTAGAATCCATACTTACATGTCAAGAGGTATGAGATCTTAAAATAAGGTCTGACCAAAACAGCAGTAACAAGACAAAACATGCATCGTGACTACCTTAATTTGAAGCATAGTTTAAAATGTTACATGTAACACTGATACCCTCAACAAAAAACAGACAGGATTGTACCAAATCAAAGGGACTTTGTAGAGGGCATAAACTTCTGACAGAATAACATTTGGAAACAACTGAAAAATACCACTCGTTGGAGAGGTGTGATGAAATGGGTTGTAGAATCATATGTAGATCTTGTCTTCTCTTTCTTCTGGACGTTATCTAGCCATAATTGCTGAAAAAGTTAAAATTACGAGCAACAACACTTTATAAAAAAAAATTGGTCACAATGAGAAACAATACTGGTTGCCTGCTTTTAAGACTTCCTTTTAGTAAGAAACTAGTCATGATACCTTTGAACATGATCCTACTCTCAACTCTCTCTATCCTTGGCTTTCAAATCCTGTATATTGATTAGATCAGAACTCATGTTTTCTCTGTAGGTGACCTCAAACTGATGTGCAGTACTGGTTAGGATGTACTGGCTGCTTATCCAGGAGGGTTTTTCAGCTGGTAAATCCCCAGGTGCATCTCCACCACTCCTTTAAGCCTGCAACAAGTCTAGCAATTTTAAAGTTTTGCTCTCTAAACATAATAAAACTAAGCAAGTTGTGGAGAAAGATTAAAAAGGAACCAACATCTGGTTTTCTCACCTTTGTTTCAGGAAGGCAGCATTCTAAAAATGAACTTTCTCCTGAAAACTGCAATATGGCTAAGAGTTGCATATGAATAGAGGAGCTAAAATCCACGGACAATATGGCTGGAGTTTCAACTCTGAAAATCAGATTGAATTTTCTCTTAAAATGTCATCCAAAATTGCACAATAAAGTGGGCAGACAAACAAGTTAAACAGATAAAGCATTTCCTGCTATCCTTCTCCTGAACCAAAGCTGAAAGATCAAAGGGAAACTAACCTGTAATACAAGTGGCAGTTTCTCTTCCTCCCCAGTTAAGGGTAATCTTTGATAAAACATGCATATTGACAATATTTATTAATAAAGTACATGTCAATGTCTATTCTTCAGCTTTTATCCCTATTACATACACAGCAAAGGCAGCAGCATCAGACACACGCACGTTACATCCATTCCATTCGCGCACCACACACACAGCCTCAACGAAAGGTGTCTGTGACAAGGAACATATAAAGGTTGTGATCTTTATCTATAAGCCCCTGAGCTTTTTTCCCTTATAGTTAGGTGAAAAAGGCAATGAACAAGGTTCCCTTGCTCTCTAAGTGCTTTGTGCAACAACGTTCATAGAGGTCATTATGGAAGTCTTTTTGGAGGAGAAATATTAAAAGTTTCACTCCCATATTTTCAGTATTTTATAGCTGTTTGCCACACCAATAATTTCCAGTTATATTTCAGTCATACTTGGCTAATATAGTTCTTGCTCCCATGATTAAAGTTATGATCAGTTCTGCAGATCACAAATGAAATGCTGTTATGCAGTCTCCCCCTTGTATCAGAAAAGGTCATCTTGGTGATACTGTAGGACTAGAGAAGGTGCCAGAATTCCTTGGAGACTGAAAAGGCATTGATGGAGAACTGGGTGACAGTTTTCTAGGGCTGCAAAGGTCCCCATTATGGAGTTTCCACAGAAGTTCTTCATTTTCCATTGATAGACGTTTGTTTACTTTTGATTCTTTCTCTAGAGATTCCTGCAGGACTGCTTGCTCTGTGGAAAGTTGCCTGCAAAAATAATACAATATCAGTACACTTACTTCAGTTTAATGTTTATAGCATCCTACCCATTTTGGAAATAGCATCATTCCCTATTCTACTCGAAAATAAGTTCTTCGTACGGAGGAATGAATGGATTTGTTCTCATGGAGAAAACTAGCAGTTTGTGGTAACATGCCCACACAATTAGCTCCTACTAGACATGGCCCTGATCCAAAACAAAAACCTAATCTTAGCTGTTTCACTGCAGGAGTACTGAAGTGAGCCAGCCCTTTTACTTAGCGTTGGGTAGTTTTTAGGGTATCTTAAATTTCAGTTGCTATTTATGATGGCAGCTGAAAGGAATATCTCCATAAGGCAGGGCAGATCTTAACGCAGACCCCCTGTAAGGAATCATAACTTCTCCTTGCAGTGAAATACCTACAGAATTTATCTGCACTTCCTAGCTTCCTTCACTTTGGTGAGGTTTGTCCATTTACTTCCTGCAGTCCAGATGAGCAGAGTCAAATATACAGTCAGACCCTGTTTGTTTGTTGGGTAGCTGTGGGACAATAGTCAAGAGACAGTTGAACACTAACTTTTGATTAAATAGTGCCAATAGTCACCTGTTTTAAGCAGTTACTTTGTTTTGTTTTTTAAAGATCTTAATTAAAATAGCAGTACAACACTTAAGGAGAATGGATCTAGCAGGACACTAAGGGCACAGACAGAAGTGACAATTTTTGCCTGATCTGGCCGAAGAAAGTGGTCTACAGCTATGACCAAGCACAAGTGCATGGCTATAGACTACTTCAAAAATGGTCAAGTGAAAATCTGAATCCTCACTGCATAAGGGGTAAAATGAAGATGTTTCAAAACACAGTGCCTTCTGTAACTTCTGCCTGCACTGCCTCCCCAGCCTGTTGGTGTTTTCAGAATGGGAGGGGAGAAAGGGGGAGCTGAGGAAGTTTGGTTTAGGGTTTTTTCAGCCCCCACTTGAGGTTGGGGTAGGTGCACTGGAGCCCCCTTGGGGTGGGGGAGGGGGAAGGCTCCAATTAACACAACCCCACCCTTCAGCACCAGGTAGGGAACCCTAGAATGAGCTCCCTCTGCTCCCTTCCCCACACCCTCCCTTTTCTGGAAACAGCCTGAGCTGGCAGGGAGGAAGGAGTCTTACTAGGGGAAACTGGCTGCAGGCTCCCACCCAGCAGCTTGATTCCTCTCCCCCCTGGAGCCAACAGTGCGCTTATGTTTGTTTCAGGGGATCGCCATAACTCAGAATGCTTCCTGCAAAGCATTCGCAGTTACAGCGGGGAGCCGTATTTCTGTCTGCACCTGAACATAGTGTTCCCAAGTTCCTTACTTCCCAGGTAAGTATTCTCACTGAAGTATTATGAGCATTCAGGACAGCACCATGGACTAAATCTGTGCATTTGTCCAGGGGAAAGAGCTAACCAAGCTTTAAGAACACTTACGATTTGATGCTCATTGCTTTACGGAGCCTCCACACCCATATACTCACCACCTTCTCAGGAAGGGAATGACATTTGCACATAAGCACAGACCAGTAAAAATGCACACTGTGTATCAATCGCTCAAGGAGTGATACTTTGGCTGTGAGGGGTTTTTTGGTTTGTTTTAAATCTGGTGCTGGATGCTGTTTTTTCACATGCCAAAGAGTATTTTCACCAGTTGATGTCAATTACAAGTCACCTGGAAAGTTCCACATGTTTGTTCATCCGAGCTTTTAATTCTTCATTCTCCTGCTGAATCTTCTTCAACCTATCCATTAAGGTTGTGTTGTTTTCCCCCTTTAATAAATGGAGGTAGAATAGTTTATTCAAGGATATAAATTGTATGAATGGCTAATGCATATTAATAAACCTAAAAAAATCAGACTTTGTTATACTATGTATAATGATACCTAGAATGACCTTGAGGAAAAGTCAGTCAACATGACTAACTTAGTGCTATATAGCAGCCAAGCTGCCCGTGTAACCCAAGAGTCTGAGTGGACCATGTTGCCACATGCTTTGATGGGCTGCTCACTAATAAAAGCTGGATCAAGTTTCCACTGCTTGAATTTCCAGGCAGCTCATCAGATGGCTTACACGTGAGATCACTATTCAATACATAGTCTAGGGGTAACTTGAAAATGACCAAATCAAAATACATGTTCTTCTATAAACTAGTGCTCCTTCCACTCCCTACTCTCACCCTCCAACACCTACAAATATCAAATCTGCACTAACAGAAGTCATCTGATATGGTAAGTGTGTAGCTTTTTTAAATGTTGCAGATTTTCTTCCTAATCATCAGCTCTAGAATGGGTTCACTTCAGTGATTTCTAACAGTTGGCATCTTTAGTCAAGAGACACTGTAGACACCAGCCCTTCAAAGACCACAAATGCTTGCAAGCTTCTAGAGTTTCCCCATGTACACAGTTAGGTATCTGATGGTATATAAGACAACATTTGACTCCTCACAAAATGCAATGGCTAACTGGGGCCAATGCTCCTCATTACTCAAGCCCCTGCTTTCTGCACTGCAAGGCAAGATTTTAATGCTAGGTTGAGTGTGACATCTGTATTCAGGGCCCTGTTCCTGCTTAGGGCCATTATCATGAAAGATATTAAACAAAGTGCTATCTAAAAAGCAATTCCATGTTAATACGGACAAGAACACGTCTGGAGGCAGTGTACAAAGAACATAGTAATGATAGTTTAGTAATCTGAAGAAATTGGAGTATGTGAAAACAGGTCTACAGAGGTTTTTCCAATTCCAGGTGAAAGAGTGCATGTTACCTCATTGTCAAGATAGCTGAATGATGGATACTTGTGCCTCATGCTAACTGGTTATTTCCTTTCCTGTTTTAATAAACTCAGACATGAAAGTATGAACACCTGCCTGAGGGGCACTTCCAAACAATGCAGTTCAGAGCCAGGCACAATCCCCCACAGGGCACATCCAGGTGAGTGTGTGTGTGCCTCTTGCAGCCTCTCCAAGCCCTTTGAGAGGCTGCAAGAGGCACATCTGGGAACAAAAAAGAATTCCCCACACTGCAAATTTGCAGCACGGGGGCAAAACTAGACCCCCCCTGGATATCCAGGGGTCAAAAAATGCCCCAGGCAAAAAAAGCAGGGCAGGGTACAGTCCAAGGCATGTGGAGGACATAAGGCAACTGGAGGCTTGGGTCCTCCACAGAGATGCCCTGGTAGCCAGCCAGAGCATCTCTATGGCTGGCCCTCACCCTAGTGCTTTGCACAGGCAGTCACCGTGGAGTCACTCATGGAGTTTTTTTTTTGTTTGTTTGTTTGTTTGTTTGTTTTTGTTTTTTGAAGTGCCAGGAGGCTGGGGCCAGGTAGGGCAGCCATCAGGGGGTCTGACGGTACAAACAGGGGATGCTGGCCCCAGGCTGTAGTTCTCCCTTGCTGCAGCCAAGCAGGGTCATTTTACCCCAAGTGGCACAACTTGCCCCACACCAAAGTGCATGTCTGGGCATGTGCGCCAAGGCAAAAAACCCCCGTCTCAAATTTGCACCACTTCTATTTGAGCTGCTGCAAGCACAAGTGCCTGCATGGTCTGGATGCACCCACAGGGTTGGGGTTTTTTCTTCAAATTATTTGTAAAGATCAAGTATTTGTAATTTGTAAAAAAAAAATAAAAATAAATACCTAGTACAAATTGATTTATAAATTACATAAAAGTCCAAAAACAAAATAAAAAAGGATTAGCCATTCCCCCATCTTTCTCCTACTTGAATGAAAATGCAACACCAAATGGAGTTCATTTTGCAAGGACTCATGCAGTTACCAGTTAAACTATCTGGAAAGCAGCAGAGGGGCAAATTTCTTGTTGAATTTGCTATGTGTTCTACCACCATATTTACCTGAAAAAAGATCAGTTTTTTCCTCCTCTGGCTGTCAGGGCACAACTTGCGGGGGGGGAGGGGCCTGTCTTATAACAGCATACAAGAGAATCTCACTAAATAAACTGTCTGTCTATCTTGTCTATCTTTAAACTGCTGTGAAACTTTTAAATGCAGCTAACACTGAGCATGACTATACTATTTGCCCATCTTGGACAAATCAGCCTTTCCCTCTCCAAATGCTTGCAAAAGGATAAGAGGATTTCCTTGGGCAAATATGTTGATGGGGACTTTTTCTTAAAAAAATGTGTATCCAAAGTCAAATCAGTCAAATCAATTCCAAATCCGTGAGTCATTCAAGAACCATGTGTGGCCCTGCTCACGACAAGCATCCTCCAGCCTCACCTGGAGCTTCAGATACTTACAAATCCTTTGGCAGGCAGCCTATGTGCAGGCCCAAGCCCAGAGGCTTGGGGTTCAGATCCTGCTACATTTCCTTGCCTTCAACTGCATGGCCACAGGAGCAAGTGAGGGAGGAAATGATGAGGGGTTTTTTTTTTTGGTTTTTTTTTAGTGCAACCCACCTATCTGAACAAGACATATGGTAGGTGCTGATTAAGCACAGTCCCCCTGCCGACTCTTTAAGGCATGGTGAGCCATGATAGAGCATACCCAGAATCCCTGTCAGCCCCTCTTGCAGTCCCATATGATTACTGTGGCCATGCCATCCATGAGGTGAAGCCACACCAGGTTGCCCTGTGCCTCAGCTACACAAATCTTTGGAGTTTTCCAGGACTTGTGAAAAGAAACCCCTGACTCCAATCATGAGTGTGGGCTAATTAGCACATTGATCCTTTGTGGGGGGGCAATCTGGAGTATACACACATACTGAGCAGTAATGAGCTGTGGGATCACCATGGAGAGCACGGCCATGCTAGTCATATGTGCCAGGCTAAGACAGGGCACAACAGGATTCTGGGTGAACTGTATTCAATGTTGTGGCTCACCATGGCTTTAAACGCCGTTCGCTCTGGTGGGGACCAGCCCAGTGAGCTATGTGGTAAATCATGAACCTTTTGGCTTTGAACTAATACCATGCATAGTTTATATTAAGCAAGTATGTGGCCAAAGTGTTGCTTAAAATTGTGTTTATGAAACACCTGTGTTAAAACTTGCAGCAGCTTTGGGAAAAAAGGTAACATTTCTGTATACTATATGAACATTGCTATAGCCATGTTTAATTTCAAGGTTATTGTTTTCACATTTGCTTCTCACTTCCACATGCCCAGGGAGAGCAGGGTATGACAGCAAGGAAGAGGGGAAGTAAGAAGATCTCTCTATACTGCAGCCCAGTACAGAAAACCCATACCTGTAACAGAACTGTATAATGTGCCCATGCCTTTACAATTTTCTATTTGCTTTTAGTGCGTCTGATTTAGCTTAGTGGGTACACATGGCCATCATGAATTTACTATCAAAATCCAGTATGTTGGGAAAAAACAGTTGTAACACTCCTGTCCCCAAAGGAAACTCACCAGTCTTTCCATCTTCATCAGTTTTATATCTTGCTGATGTAGTTTCTCATTCTTGATCTCCAACACTGCTTTCAGACTTTCCAGTTCCTGTTCCAGATACATAATCTGAGGATTTTTCTGAAAGGGGGAAAAAATGAGTTCACTTATTTCCCTGAATTCCAGAGACATTTTTGATCACATATGCTAAAATAATGTACACAGACAACGCTTGTAAATAAAGAGTTGTCAGATTGTTGAAGTCTTAAATTATATAGTTTTGATTCAGGAGGAAAAGCTAGTATACTTTCCTTTTGGACTCCTTTTGCCCTTCAGTAGTAAAGTTTTGAGGATGCCTGTCAGAAACCCCAGTATGATCTGGGGGTTCATGGCATGTCACAACTGGTTTCTTATGTTTATTTCACTGATATGGCATGTGTAGTCAGTATATCGCTTTAAGATTTTGGTTTAGATCATGGTTTAGCCAAGTAAAAGGAGAGATGGCAAAACTGCTAAATATCTTGCTATTGTGATGCTAAGGCAAGGACAACAGGTACTCCAACTGGACAGAAGACTTCACTGGTGGGACGGACACGCAAACTGTCGGTGATGGGAAAAAAAAAACAAAACAACAACCAATAGTAAAAGCATCTGAAAGAAACGACCCTTTAGCCAGAGAAATACCAGATGCCCAGGAACAGAAATTTCTGGAGGACTCTGAGACTTGTGTGAAATTGGAACGATGCTGATGGAGGAGGGAAAGGCCACTGACTGAGAAGTTTTTCAAAGGCCATCTGTAAGGTGGCTAGGGTCTTTGAATTTTCTCAGGCTTTGGAGAAGTCCAGGTCCCCAGCAGTCAAGGCTGGCAGGCTCAGCAGGGAGGCCTATCTCGGAAAATATAGGTAGGCCTTCTGAAGGGCTAGGTGATAGATGAGAGAGTAAGAAACTTTAATTGTCTTTTTGTTCCGTCTTCAAAACTTAGGTTGAGTTTTTCTTGTATCATTATTTTTCCTATATAATAAATCCTTTTGTTGTTTGCCCCTTTAGTGATTGCCTGTGATGAAGAATGATAGCTGAGTGATGATAATCCAAGAATACCCATTCTTTGGAAAGGGGAACCTAAAATTTCTTTTACAACCCAGGCAAAACTCTATCAAATGTGGGATAAGCAGTGGGAAAGCAGGGAGAAACTAAGGGAGTCTACAGATGGGTTTGTGATAACTCGCTTTAAAATCAATCTTTCAGGAATCTTATCTAGGAAAAAGTTTGCAGCCTAATCCAAGAAAAAGAAGTTTCTAGTCAGAAAATAAGTTCATTTTATTTCTATGAGAGGAAATATTTTTGGAATGAATTACTATTACTGTAAAACTTGTTCTGCAATAGCGCTCCCACTGCCACTGTAGGCTGCAAATAATTCCAAAACATTTGTTTTCTTAGTTGTAAGCACAAAAGGAGATTAGACAAACAAATGTTTAAGAATCACTCATACGTTAGAGTAACTTAGGTAGGGTGATTTTTTTTTTTTTTTTTTTT